CGGGGGAGAAGGGCCTTGGTCAGGGAGGTGAACAAGAACCCGATGGTCATTCTGACAGAGCTCTAGAGCTCCTCTGTGGAGATGGGAGAACCTTCCAGAAGGACAACCATCTCTGCAGCACTCCACCAATCAGGCCTTTATGGTAGAGTGGTCAGACGTAAAAGGCACATGACAGCCCACTTGGAGTTTGCCAAAAGGCACCTAAAGGACTCAGACCATGAGAAACAAGATTCTCTGGTCTGATGAAACCAAGATTGAACTATTTGGCCTGAATACCAAGCGTCACGTCTGGGGGAAACCAGGCACCAATCATCACCTGGCCAATACCAATGTTTTTCAGCGGCAGGGACTGGGAGACTAGTCAGGATCGAGGGAAAGATGAGTGGCGCAAAGTACAGAAAGCTCCTTGATGAAAACCTGCTCCAGAGCGCTCAGGTTCACCTTCCAACAGGACAACAACCCTAAGCACACAGCCAAGACAACGCAGGAGTGGTTTCGGGACAAGTCTCTGAATGTCCTTGAGTGGCCCAGCCAGAGCCCGGACTTGAACACGATCAAACATCTCTGGTGAGACCTGAAAATAGCTGTGCAGCGATGCTCCCCATCCAACCTGACAGAGCTTGAGAGGATCTGCAGAGAAGAATGGGAGAAGCTCCCCAAATACATGTGTGCCAAGCTTGTAGTGTCATACCCATGAAGACTCGAGGCTGTAATCACTGCCAAAGATGCTTCAACAAAGTACTGAGTAAAGTGTCTGAGTACTTATGTAAATGTGATATTTCAGTTTTACATTTTTAATACATTTGCAAAAATGTCTAAACCTGTTTTTTGCTTTGTCATTATGGGGTATTGTGTGTAGATTGATGAGGGGAAAAAAACAATGTAATCCATTTTAGAATAAGGCTGTAACGTAACAAAATGTGGAAAAAGGCAAGGGGTCTGAATACTTTCCGAATGCACTGTAGTAGTAGGTGGATCAATACAGGCTGATACTGAAGAGATGCGTCCATGCTTTCTCTGGGTTATTGTCATGTGTTCTGCTGTTCTTGGCCTGTTTATCAGGTACACTGTTTTTAGCTAGTCTCACCCTAGCTGTTGCTGTGTGTTCTCTGTTCTTGAATGGGGGCAGGGGCAGATATCCTTGCTTGTGTAAATCAAATAAATTGTATTTTTCACATACACGTGTTTAGCAGATGTTATTGCGGGTGTAGTGAAATGCTTGTGCTTCTAGCTCCGACAGTGCAGTAATAATCTAACAAGTAATATCTAACAATTTCACAACATATACCCAATACACACAAATCTAAGTAAGGAATGGAATTTAAGAATATATACATATATAGACAAGCAATGACAGAGTGGCATGGACTAAGATACAGTATAATATTATAGAATACAGTATATACATATGAGATGAGTAATGCAAGATATGTAAACATTATTAAAGTGACTAGTGTTCCATTTCTTAAAGTGGCCAGTGATTTCAATAGGCAGCAGCAGCCTCTAATGTGCTAGTGATGACTATTTAACAGTCTGATGGCCTTGATCGAAGCTGTTTTTCATTCTCTCTGTCCCAGCTTTGATGCACCTGTACTGACCTCGCCTTCTGGATGATAGCGGGGTGAACAGGCAGTGGCTCGGGTGGTTGATGTCCTTGATTATATTTTTGGCCTTCCTGTGACATCGGGTGCTATAGGTGTCTTGGAGGGCGGGTAGTTTGCCCCCAGTAATGCGTTCGGCAGACTGCACCACCCTCTGGAGAGCCCTGCGGTTGCGGGCGGTGCAGTTGCCGTACCAGGCGGTGATACAGCCTGACAGGATGCTCTCAATTGTGCATCTGTAAAAGTTTGTGAGGGTTTTATTGACTGCGGTTATTAGGTGGTAGTAGTATAGCTTGCCTTGCATATGTGTTTGTCTTTCTCTGAGGACAGTATAGAACAGCCGTGCATATGAATGGCAACTACAGCTAGTATAGCAAGCAGATAGAGGTGTATTAATGGCTAGAAGCAGCTAGCTACCAGTTGGCATAGTGACAGAGGTGGGGCCATAGTCATTCTACCAGAGTGAGTTCAGTGGGTCTGGGTGTTTGTAGAGCAGTGGGTAGTACATACAGCATCTCTCTCTCTCTCTCTCGCTCGGTCTCTCTCTGTCTGTATGAGTCATAGCACTAGACACAGAATTCCACTGTGTGTTCATGAGCATGCTTGCAAAAGACATGCCCCCACACTCACATTCACATAGGACTGTCTCTGTGTTACAGCGTTGGTTTAATGACTGCGTTCTACATCTGTTTTTTAAAACGTTGTTATAGCATTGTTTATTTGGTCACTGACACTGATGTATGTTTCTGATGCCTTTTTAATATTCTACCACAGTACAACTGGCGCACTGGGACAATGTGCTGCTTATCACTTGACAGGTTGCCATGGAAACAATGGCGGTTTTCAGCTGTTGCCGTGACAACAAAATGGGGGGACTCTCCAGTAATTCATTTGCTGAGACAAGGAATGCAGACAGGTCTGAGAGTAGAGGGTGGGGGGGGGGGGGTCTGATTGGAGAAAATTCCTAGAGTTTTATGTTGGTGGTAAAGACCAACCAGACCGTATGAGACACACAAAGACACACCTCCCTCTGAGGTCTGTCTAGGACCATAGGTGACTCACCACCAGCCAGTCAGGGGAGTCTGCAGCAGTACGCCTTCTACTGGACTGATAAAGCCTTAAACAACACCAGATTGGGTGTCTTAATCAGTTTAACTCTACACTAACATTTAAATCAAGACAGAATGACAGATCTGGTCTTCTTTAGCTTTAGACTGCACAACAGTCTCATCACACACACACACACCTCTCCTCTCCTATAGGCTGCATAGTGTCATCACACACACCTCTCCTGCCCTGTAGGCTGCGTGGTGTCGTCACACACACCTCTCCTGCCCTGCAGGCTGCGTGGTGTCGTCACACACACCTCTCCTGCCCTGTAGGCTGCGTGGTGTCGTCACACACACCTCTCCTGCCCTGTAGGCTGCGTGGTGTCGTCACACACACCTCTCCTGCCCTGCAGGCTGCGTGGTGTCGTCACACACACCTCTCCTGCCCTGTAGGCTGCGTGGTGTCGTCACACACACACACCTCCTTTCTGTCCTCAGGGGTAAGGAGCAGTTCACACGTGTAGACTAGACAGGTCATGTATAGTAAGGAATGGGGGTGTGTTTCAGTGTGTGCATGCTTGTGTGAGGGGCCTGGATTTGTGTGAGTGACAGCACAGCAGAGCATCTTATCTAATCCTGGCTGAAGACCCGCAATTGGCCTTTACATCTGTTTATACTTCCATACTGTATAGCAATTGTACAATAATAGTATGTGTACCTAGTCTCACACACACAGCTACATTATACACAGATACAGGAAGTCCAGGTCTGTGAGCACACAGCTTTATGGCTCTGAGTCATAGATGAGTCCAGTCGCCTTAGCCTTGTCCTGATTGGCTAGTCGTGATTCTAGTCTTCTTAGCCTCATGCTGATTGGCTAGTTGTCATTTATAGTCTTCTTAGCCTCGCCCTGATTGGCTAGTCGTGAATCCATAGTCTTGTGAACCTAGTTGTGATTGTGCAATACCCTCTGGAGGAGGAAGAGTGAAACTCAAAGTCAATATAAAGGTTTCGTGTCCCGGCAGACTCCATCATGGTGTTCTTCCTAGTTGTTTTCTGTCTCCCAGGCAGACAGACAGACAGTATAATCTCTATCCCTGCTGCTCTCACTCTGTACAGACCTGCTCCGCCCACTACAGCCTGTTTTGTCAGGCCTGTGTCAGCTGACCAGAAAAGATAAACTGGGTCAAAGAGGCACTGCCCAGCGCCTCCCTCTTTCCGTACTCCCTCCCTCTATCCATGTGTCTCTGTGTCTGCTCTTCCTTTCACACAGTCATGTTGCCTGCCCGGTCATGGTGCTGGTGTAGGTTAATGTCTGTGTTGCTTCTGCTCGTCCAGTCAAAGGAAGCAACAGACATGGAACTTTTCAGACATGGAAATGGCTCTCCCAAGACTTTCTTTTAGACTGCTGTCAGTCCTATGAAATGGTCTTGAGTAATGCTTTCAGAGTAGTAAATGATTGGCCATGTGGTTTAGAAAGAAAGATTGTGGGGACTAGCAAGGAGAGCAGAGAGGAAAATGGGAGGGGCCCACATAAGGAGGCATACGCACGCAGTCTCTGAGAGGATGTTGATTCTTGGGTCTAACAACAGTACTGCCACACTCAGAGAGTATTAGTAAGTGTTCCCAGGGGGGATTTTCCTCTGCTCCTCTGGAATCCAGCTCAGCCTACCGTGGAAGTGAAGTAGATGCAGTAATGACCTTCTGAAGAAACATGATCTTAATACTGCATTATCTATGTAAACACTCGGGATGTGGCCGTGGTGTCGTTTTGACGGTTATATAACATTGACATCGTTTCTGTACAGGGAGAGAGAAGGATCTCTTGGTCAGAGAGTGTATATAGGCCTGTGTCTGTCTCAACATTGATAGATGAAGTGGAGACCATGGGGTCAGGAAATAGTGGTTATTCGTTGGTTGTGTGATGTACTGTCACAGACAAGGAAGTGACCAGCGTAACGAATACACTGATAAGGAGCAGCTTGTTTGTCAAGTTGATTTAGAAGAGAAAAATGGTTTATGCATGTGGCTGTTGCTAAAACAACACAGGTCTGGATAGCAGATGTTTTTTTATTAGAGCTTTTACTTTACATGAACGCAAATGGGGAGTTTTATGACATACGGCATTGATATATTATGAATGGGTAAACTCTCAATGTACACATTGAGGACCAATGACACCTGGAATAGTATCCAGCCAAGAGTGAAAATGTTGATATTACTGGTTCTATTGAAGAATTTGTGTGGAACGTGAAACTTCAGTTCAAAGTTTTATTATAATAAAATTACAGAATGAAAGCAAGCTCTCTCTGAAATATTTGATTGTCCCATTATAAATGTGTTTGTAGTGTGTGTTCAAACCTTTCCTCTCTTCCTCTGCATCTTACAGACGTTGAAGCGCAAGGAGAAGGAGTACGAGCATGAGATGGAGAGACTGGCGCGGGAGAAGATCGCTACTCAGCAGCGATTGGCTGAGCTGAAGAACGAGCTGAGCCAGTGGATGAATGTCATGGAGATCGACCGTGTTCTCAGACAGACTGTTCAACCAGAAGACGACCAGGCTTCTACCTCTACTGCCTCAGGTACGCTCAATCAATCGATTAATCAAGCAATCAAATTAATTTAGAAAGCCGTTTATAAATAAATAATGACACTAAGCGGTTGTCACCAAGTACTTTACAGTAACCGTACTTACATTTACATTTTAGTCATTTAGCAGACGCTCTTATCCAGAGCAATTTACAGTTAGTGAGTGCATACATTATTTTATTTTTTTCATACTGGCCCCCCGTGGGAATCAAACCCACAACCCTGGCGTTGCAAACGCCATGCTCTACCAACTGAGCTACATCCCTGCCGGCCATTCCCTCCCCTACCCTGGACGACACTGGGCCAATTATTCGCCGCCTCATGGGTCTCCCGGTCACGGCCGGCTACGACAGAGCCTGGATTCAAACCAGGATCTCTAGTGGCACAGCTAGCAGTGCCTTAGACCACTGCGCCACTTAAGAGACCACTTGGGAGACCACTGCGCCACTCGGGTACTTGTAATGTGTACCTGGGTCTTTCTATAAACTAGGTTACCAGTGGGGATTTCTTACACGGAACTACTTGTTACAGCTGTTAATAATTCATTGATAATAATCTGCTAATTTATTTCATGTCATTACATTAAACCTCTTAGATTTAAAGTCCCCTGTTTTGGGAACCTGCGTGGTTCTGGTACCGGTTCCGACCGTCATTTTTGCTTACAAATCGATCTATGGACACCATAGCTCGAAATGGCTTGCATTGAACGGTAGCCCTGATTCTCACTGACACAGGAGTATGTATATTTTGCCTGTGTGAAGCAGGATGTGAAATCTGACACCACTTGAAGCTGGGATGTCCCTCCTACTATTTCATTCGCTCTTCCGACTGTCCATCAACTCCTTGCTGAACCCTACGTCACAGCCACTAACAATATATGCCTGGAATCCTTACATCATAGCGCAGCAGGAGAGAGTGGTTTCGTCGCTGTAGCACATTCAGAGATCGATTTATAGCCAGTAATCTAAAATAATTTTAAACAAAAAACACTTTCTGTATGTCATAGACGGACATAATTTATATGAGATGAAATGCGAGTTCCTAACGAGTTCAGGAAGCCAAGCTAGAGCACTGTAAAGTTCACAGCGATGGGGGCAGACATTTTGATCAAGAGTCCTTTAGAAAATATGTATTTTACAGTTAAGGTGAAATCTTATAGTTAGTCGTTTTATAATTAGATTATACTATATTTAAAAAGCATAAGTCATTTCAAGCCTTATTCATACAGTTTTGTTGAATAGGAAATCATAAAATATTTCATTTTCATATTTTTACTTTGTACTTAAACTTGTGTCCTCAAAAGTGACCACACCTCAGCAATTTATAACAGTTTCTTACCAGAAAGCTGAGATTTGAACCTTTCTTGGAGTATGCAGCATTACTAGTTATTGTTTATGGCCCTCATGATAAATAATTACTTTTGGGGATTACGTAGATTACATTTAGTTACATTTAACTGGTTTAAGATATAAGGGGGATTATAGCTATATTCAATCAAATTCACGAGTATGTTTAACCCTTTATCATGGTTGGCGTCTTGATGGATTTGTTCAAAATCGTGTGACATAAAACATTACTTTTCTGTCGTTGCATTTATGGCAGTGTAAGTTGTCATTATATCAGATATTAACCATTAATCAGTTAAATTAGACATTGAACCTGAACCCTGTAAGAATCCTGGATCTAGCTGTCAGACAGTTTTTTTTGTATAGAGATCTCAGAAATGCAGTGTAAACGCATAATATTTTGTGTCTCCTTATGTTACGGGGTGAAAACAGTTGTCATGGGCACTCAAATTCTAAATAATGTATGCATTGTCAAATGTGAACGCTTCTAACCGAAAGAGTCACCTTACCATGATACTTAAAACCTAAATCGATACTATCATTAATGTGGTTCTTCAATAATTATGCATAATACTTGTTGGATGCGCATTTGGTGTCCAGCTGATTATTTACTCCGTGATATTTTCACACATCACCTGATCCAGGAAGGAATTTTCCGAATGACAGTCAAGTGACAGCGCATGCGATGCAACAACAGCTCAAGTGCTGGAATAAAGGTGTCCGCAAGGAATATCCAGAATATTTTTGTGTCTCATGCGATACACCTGTGAAGACCGGATTGATGTTGATAATCTGTCTGCTTGATTTACAGCAGGGTCTCATTTAGATTTAAAAGAAAAAGCGTCAAGGTAATAAGTTCATGTTTTCATATGTTTTTGTGCCTTGGATTGGACACAGTCTACTGTGCACAAGTGTAGGATAGACTATTGTGCAACACCCAACGCTATTCCTATTCATTATTCTGGATATAATGACAACAAATTACATAGCCTAGTGGGCTTATTCATAATATGATCTGCTATTGAAATAACATGACATTCATTTTGTTTTCCATGTTAGAACAGCAATTTTAAACAATACAAGGGGCTTGAAGTAGCCTACTTGAACTTGAATTTGGAGCTCAGAAATTATGAGGACGACAACATCTAATGTTGGCTTTCCATAGAAATCCTTCCATTTAAAAAAGGAACCTGTTTTTCTCATTATAAAAACAGCGATGGTGAGATTAAAATGGTGAGGTTAATGATACCGCTATTCATGACTTTATGATGTGTGCCTGTGTCGGCCACATAGGCTACAGAAAAATGGCCATGCATGCATCCAATCTAATTAGTTAGGCAATGTCCACATTATTCTCACATATTTTAGAATGTAATAATAATTTGAATATCAATGCATTGGCAAGGCTTAAAAAATGCATTATTCATATTGGTAATGGCCTACGTTTTTTGACAGGTTTTGCTTTCTGGGGGTGGGTTCTATATTAGGCCCTGTATTTACAATTATATACATTATAAAATTGTATACCGTTGAGGTCCTTGACCATTACAATTAGGTGCTTGTAAAAAGTCCTTGAATTTGACTTGCCAATGTCTGTATGAACCCTGCTTAAAGGATGTATAGTCCTAGACCTATGTTGTTATATAGGTGGAGTTATGGGACCATTTGCATATATGCACTTTCATTCCTCTAAGTACACATGTGGAACTTCATGACAATCCTTTTTATTTTTGTTTCAAACCATTTTGAAATGTTGATCCCAATGTCACACATTGGCCACTTTTATTTATAGAAAGACCCACCTACACTTGTTCCTACACAGTGTTTTAAGAATGTACAAAGCGATCATATCTGCGATGTTATCAAGCGTAACGTTATTAACATGAGCATTCTTTCTATCTGTGTCACAGAGGGTGAAGACATCATGAATGACGACATGGATGAAGAGAATGTTCCTGCAGCGCCAACAGCCTTACCCACCATGCCTCAACAAGCCATGCAGCCCGAGTTGTACAAGACTGTGACCCCTACTACCATAACCCCCACAACCTCCATCCTCACCCAACATATCTCCATCCAACACAAGACCCAGATGTACCCCCAGCCCCTGCTTCACCCACACCCGCTGTCAGCCCTGCCTGTCTCGGCTACGTTCTCCACCCCAACATCCAGCATCACCACCACCCCTATCCAGACCCTCCTATCGGCTCACACACACATCGTAAGCTCCCCTAGCACCCTCTTCCCGGCCCACACACACATGGTGACTGCCCCCGCTCACACTCACATGGTAAAGGCACCCAGCCTCCAGCCCACGGTCATCGCCCACGCCTCGGCTTCCCACGCCTCCGTCATTCAGGCCGTCAACCACGTCATCCAGGCCCAGGCTTCATCTGGAGGAGCCAAGCACATCACCCATCTAGCCCCCTCCTCCTCAACCTCCATGCAGCTGGCCCCAGGTCACCACCACCACCAGCCCATCGGACACATCACCGTACACCCTGTTACTCACCTGGGCCAGCACCATTTACCCTCCATCTACCCCCAGTCTGTGGCTGTCACGCAGCCAGCCATGGTGGGCCACATCACCCATACACTCACCCATGCCCAGGTCAATGGTACTGCCCCCAACCAGGGCACAACCACCATTGTGGGAAAGCAGACGGCAGTTGGTGCCCAGGTGGTGACACATCACCCACAGCTGCTGAACCCTGTAACTATGGTGACCATGCCCTCATTCCCCGTTAGCACTCTGAAGCTAGCCTGATCTCTGAACCAGGCCAGAGCCATAACCAGGCCAGAGCCATCCTGAAGCTAGCCTGAGAACCAAGCTACATGAACAGGCAGGTGGCCAGAGTCGGGCCGAGGTCGGAGACAGACCTCTAGACCTGGAGACCATCGGCCCCAGAGCAGACCAGCCGGACAGGATCAGGAGCCAGCCCAGACTCAGAGCCAAGGGCAACTGAAGTAGGCCCAGAGTGAGGCAGGCACCAGGACTACTGTACTGACAAACAAATGCAAAAGTCTTCATACTGAACGCAAGACGCAAGTCCTCATATTCACTGATGATTCACAAACTGCATTATTAACTAACCTGAGGCATTACAGCTGTCAATAAGTAACTCAGAACATTCCTAAAATAAACTATAAAAAACGTACATAAAAAATAAATAACCATTATAAAGATATATTTATATTATGAGGTGAAAGACAGCAAATGTTGTTAGGCTGAGTGTGATGTCCAGGATGATCATGTTGATGGTGTGTGATATTGTATACGATACAGTCGAGAGAATCACATGAAGACATTGTCTGTCCCTCTTCCGTATTCATATATACAGAAGCAAAACAGTAGCTAATAGTGAGAGAAGGGTGTCATCCAATGTCAAAGGCAGTCAGACCTGCATATTTTCCCTCAAGACCAGTTTTTATATTTCTGGTACAGGGTCATGGATTCCACAGCCAAGAGTATTTACAAACCACACTACTAATGACTGTGGTGGTGCCACTATTTTCTCTTATGAAAGCACCAAGATATTAGATTTAACTGAAGTCTACCGCTGCTACCAGAGGCCAGGGCCTGTATCCACAAATCATCGTTGTGCTGATCTAGGATCTGCCCATATAATCTTATTTGTTAGAATTTAAAAGGCTAAGCTGATACTAGATAAACACTCCTACTCTGAGACACTTTGTGGATACGGGCCTTGATGTGACCAGAAGGCAAAGCGTCCAATTTCAGACAGGCTGAATCGGGGTCAGAGAGACTGGCTCTCTGGCTGTGTGTGATTGGTGGGTGTTGGCACGTCAGCATGGGATCAGTGTGTGTGCTCTAACAACTAAGCGACATAAAGGAGCACATTGAGGACATGATTGCTGGGACCTCCCCTTCCCTCTACCCAGGCACATGGCTGTGGAGTGAAACCTAAAACAGGACCTTTCTGCTCCCACTGCAGCGCTGTCAAATTACTGCATGTTCCACAGGCTTCCCCTGCTGGTAAAAAAACACAACTGCATGTAAAACGAGACAATGAATGGTCATTGAGCATACTAGTTTGTAATAACATATATTCAGTTTGTGTGGTCCAAGCCGGAATCAAACCCAAATGCCGGCATTACCAATTCCACCATGTGCATCTGAACCAGGTGATGTAAAGTGTAACTGAGGACTTTTCACAAAACTGAACAACCACTCAATTTAGCACAGGAGTAAAACAAGTGACTACATATTGCCACGATTATATATATTTTTTTACTAATGGCAGAGCAGGAGCCATCATAGCAGGCACAATCACTGCAAACTGTTCCTGGAGTATATCTGTATGTGTAATAAAGGAGGTATATAGTGAGGCATGTCTTGTTTATTGTGTTGCAGCAGTTGAAAACTAAGGCCTTCGGCAGTGCCATGGTAGAGCATTTAAGTGAATGTGGCAGTTTGGGGTTAAACGGCATGGTAAGGCAGTCACCTACGACATCTTATCCTCTTTTTCCACCACCCATATTAATTATCAGGCTGCTTGGTATATCAACTGTTATAATCTAGATTCTCATGTTAGCTTTCCACTGCACTATTATGACACGACCTGTGTAGCTGAGATTCAACTTTTAACTTCCAGCACTTTGATCTGATACTTAATAACCCCAATTAAAGCAAAACTGGTTTACAACTGTACATAGCACTCGCAAAAACAGCAAGCGACTGTCCCTCTTCACTTAATCTGAATGTTTTTACGTGTGTGTCTGTGAGAGAGAGGAAGAGGACATGGTAGAGAAGTCATTTAACATTTTGCTCTGTTAAAAAAATAATCAATCTTGTGTGTGGAATGGAACAGTATGTATGTACACATTCAAGAATGGATTTTGTGTATTTTAAAAATGTGACTGTTGCCTGTTTTTGCATGTAGATTGGTGATTTGGGTTCATATGTAGATTTTTATGCCAGCTGTTTTCTGGGACCATGTACAGTACTGTATACCACAGTGGAGTTTTCACTGACCTCCTTCCACAACATTGATATTATATATATATATATATATATATATATATATATGTATATGTATATGTATATATATATATATATATATATATATATATATATATATATATATATATATATGTATATGTATATGTATATGTATATATATATATATATATATGTGTATATATATATATATATATATATATGTGTATATATGTATGTGTTTTCCCTATGGAGAAAGTAAGTTCTATATTGCCTGTACATTTTGGGCTGTGTTTAGATCTAATTGTCCATTATGTAAAAAGAGGAAAATCATTTAAATGCATATGTGGAAAATGCTTAAGATACTTAATAAATCTTATTACATTTATAAAAACATCTTGCTTTGGTCAATTTCATTGATTACATTTTTAGGGTGTGTAAAGAATCGTGGTAGGCTCACTAAGCAACACTATCGAAATACAAAGTAAGAGTAGTAGAAAATGTCTAGAATGGAGAGCCAAGACGTTATTTCCTTTTTTATTATTGTATTACAATTTATTGCATACTTTCTCTTCCTCAATGACTTTATAAAGGCCCGGATTCAATCCGAGCGCGCTTTGTCCACAATGCACTTTTTAAAGGCAATGTTCCTGTGTTTTCAGAGCCCACATTCACGGTAAACGCTGCATATGTCGGCTCAATCGGAAAATACCTTTAATTAGCGCATTGTCCAAATCTGCGCTCGGATTGAATCCCGGCCAAAGTTATTTATTACAAATATATTCCAAAAAGTAGTAGGACAACATTCTTATAAAACAAAATGGAAACAAAACCTTATTTCCTATCTATGTTCTGGTGTGCGATTTTGGACTTGATCTCTAGGTGAAGCTTTGATGGCCAGGAGGAGGATAAAACAAGCAAGTAAATAGAAAAAATAGAATCAGTGTCCAATGTTGCTTACAAAGAGATTCTGAAATAAAAATATTTTATTCTGATTGAAACGTAAATTCATTTTTCTGGCATATTCATATGACACTAATACAATCAAAACAAATGAATATTTTTTTCTCTCTCATTACTTGTTCCTTGTGAATGACCTCTGACATTTGCACCTGAGGAAAATAAATACAAATACACACAAAACGATGTTTAAAGCCAAAAGTCTTGGGGAAACATGGGAGTGGAAAATACCTAAATGACCATTACAATTTCTCTTGCTTTGAGTGTATAATATAACTACTATAACAAAATCATCCACTCAAATGTATCTACTTAATGTACTTCAAAAGAGTGGGTGCATACTTACTGTCCACAATCAACATCATCATCAAGAAGTCTGAGGAAAAATATCACCCATGAATGAAGGCCTGCTACGTCAGACACCTCTATAACAGACACTATACACACAAACAAGCAGGCACCTCACTGAAGTGACCCTGTCATTCTCTAACCCCCTGACCTCCGGCAGAATATGGGCCTTGTCCTGTCTGCTTGGTCCCCAGGCCAGCGTCTCTTGGCTGGCACATAGTTAGCTCAAGGCTGCCATTTTCTCCTCTTGGGTCGTGTTCAGCAGAAACAAACAAAAAACTTAAACAGGGAGTTAGTGCCTGAACTTGTCCATTTGGGCCAGGATTCAGTCCAATCGTGGGTTTTGCACTGCCGCTTTTACAGTTTTTTCTGAATGCTTAAGCGCTAATCGTGATTCTTGTAGCACAATTTCTAAAACTATTAATATGTATAGCAAAACCACTCACTGAGTTTGCAAAACTAAAAGCACAAACACTGCTTTGCACTCAGTTTACAATTTTGTAACACACACTTTGCAAAACTGTAGGCACAATTCACTGCACAACACTCTTTTTGCAGAACTTTAAACACAACTCACTGCTTACACTCAATTACCAAATTTCCAACACACTACTAGCAAAATTATACACATGTATGGCTATCATTAACACTATTTTGCCAACTGTCTGGCACACTTGCACATGTGAAAACTGTTGTAGATAATTAGTTCACTTTGCAATCAGCCTAAGCACTATAAATAAGCCACAGGTAAGCTGTCTGTGTGGAGTACAATGGAAGGAGCAGTAAGAGGGAGAAGAGTGAGAATCAGAGGAGGCCGAAGAGGCCGAGGGAGAGGACGTGGAGTTGAAGAAGTTGGAGGAAGAGGACGTGGAGTTGAAGAAGCGAGAGGGTTAGAGGAAGTTAGAGGAAGAGGACAAGGAGGAGCAAGAAGAGGACGAGGAGGGGAAAGAGGAAGGGTAAGAAGAGTAAGAAATAGAATAACTGATGACATCAGAGCTACAATAGTGGACCATGTCATCAACCATGGGATGACCCTGAGGGAAGCTGGCCAACGGGTTCAGCCTAATTTGAGCCGCTACACTGTGGCAAGCATCATTAGGACATTTCGAAATGAGAATCGGTAACTACTTTGTAGCACTGCCATACTCTAATGAGAAACACAACAGTACCATACATGCAAAAATACTGAAATTGTTACTTTACAGAATTGCTAGACGTCCAGATGTTGGGGGCAGAGGAAGAATGTTCACTCCAGAGCAAGAGACCCATATAGTGAACATGATGATTGCCAATAATGCAATAAGACTGCGCGAAATACAGCAGCGCATAATTGATAATGACACCATCTTTCAAAATATACACAGTGTAAGTATTTCTGCACTAACTCGTGTACTTGCGCGCCACAGAATAAGAATGAAGCAAATTTACAGAGTTCCTTTCGAGAGAAACACAGAACGTGTAAAGCAACTGCGATATGACTGTGCAGGTAAGCTATAGTGTCATTGGTTCTGAATTTGGAAGTGCATACTGTAGTGCTGTGCATGGGCCTGATGTGTTGCATTTGTTTTGTCTTGTCCAGAGAGTGATGGAACTAGAAGCAGATGCCATGGGACATGAGCTACTTTTTGTAGATGAGGCCGGTTTTAACCTCAGTAAAACCAGGAGACGTGGAAGGAACATTATTGGACACCGTGCCATCATCAATGTCCCAGGATAACGTGGTGGTAACATAACCATGTGTGCAGCTATAAGCCAAAATGGTGTTGTTCACCATCATGCAACCTTAGGCCCCAGGTAGAGAACACAGACGAGACCTACTGTATCGCAGAGCATATGAGCGGAGTTGAGCGGGAGCGAGCGTGGAGCGTGAGCGGACGGATTTTGAACAGAGCGCAGAGCGGCATTTTTAAAAGGACGGAGCGTCGCCCTATGTCCCGCTCCAATTTCGCTCGCTCACACCAAGAGTCTGAAGCATGCTCAAGCCTGACCCAGAATCCATCTGTTTAATTTAATTTGTGTCGTCCAAGAATTTGTATTTTATAGAGCGAGGAGCAGCAGCAGCAACAAGAGAAAAGCGTTGAGGAATTCAAAAGTTTATTCACTGCAGGCAAAGGCCCAACCATAACAAGGGAGAGAAAAAGAGAGCTGGATGTAGCATTTTTAAAAATGATTTTCATGGACTATGAACCGCTGAGTAAAGGAGAACGCGAAGGGATGCAACACTTCGCCAGCGCAGCTCAACCGGGCTACACCCCCCCCGTGTCCGTGTGCTGACACCACTAGCAGACCTCACAGACAAAATGCAGAAGGAGCTGGGGAACCTGGGGATGATCCTCCCTGCTGTCACAGAAATCAAATCCCTGCTCACCGATTACACTCACGCTGCACTTCCAATGGGCATCGCTGCTTTTGCAGAAACATTGGCAAACAACG